TGCGCACGAAGCCCTGGCCGCAGTCGCCGCACACGAACGGCCGCTCCTCAGTGTGCGTGAGCTGGTGGCGCAGCAGGTGCGAGCTGCGGCTGAAGCTGCGGCCGCACTCGCCGCACACGAATGGCCGCTCTCCCGTGTGGATCTTCTGGTGCCGCAGCAGGTTACTGCGTTGGCTGAACACCTTCCCACAGACGTCGCAACGGCCACCTCGCACTGCCCCGGCGCCCGTGCTGGGGCGGCCCCGGCCCCTGCTCCGACCCCTGGGGCCGTGCCAGCGGCCAGTGGCCAGGACCCGGCCCACGCCCTGGCGGGGATCCTCGTCCGTGGGGTCCTGCTCACCTCCCGGATCGTGGGGCAGTACCAGCGCATGCGAGAAGACGGCTTCTCGGGCGGGTGACCGGAGTTGGCCCGCGAGGCTGGCCACACCGAGGTCCCAGGGGATGTGGAGGTGGGGGCTCACAGTGCCTGGGCCAGCGGAGACGCTTTCCATCTGGAGCGCAAACCCTGCATTGCACAAGGGGGTCCACTTCTTCGTGACGGAACCCGCTGTGTGTCCAGACCACTCCAGCCCTGGGCAAACAGTGTGACCGAGAGGGCCCTAAAACTGACCGAGGAGGCAGACAGAGGGGGCAGGAGCAGGGATTCTATCTGCGCTGGCTTCCCCGAAGAGGTGACAGTGGCCCAGAATCACAGAAGACGACTGAGAAGCTGGGGACAAGCTTCTCAGGTCTGAGTTAGGTTTGCAAAACTCGCCTTTCTGGAAGGGGTGTGGTGCAAAGGAGGGGCAGGTCGCCCTTGCACTGTCCAGGCTGGTGAGGACGGTTTCCACACATGCAAAGAAGGAGGTGGCATCAGAGGGACAGAGAGTGCATGCGGGCTGTGGGGCCCAGTCTTCAGGGAAACATGAGCATGGGTGCTCTGGCATGGCCACGGCACGTGCAGTCCCGGGCCTGAGTGACATCAAACGTGTGGCCGTACACCTAAGAAGAGCAGTGGCCCACCACGATGTGAGCTCTCCCGCATCAGATGCTGGGTGACAGAGGAGGCGGAGCAAAGGTCTCCGAGAAGCAGGGGCCGGAGGAAGTTAAATCAGGCTGAGAGAGCAGCAAGGGCTTCAGTGGGTGACAGAAAATCCTTAGGTCGTGAAGTCACATGAATCGTACTGCATCAAAGGAAGTAACTCACGCACAAGGGAGACTTCAGAATTAAAAAACAGAACAAAAACCTGAGAAACTCTAGAGGGAAAGGGCTAATTAATCTTCTAAGAGCTCCACTGAGCCAACAAGACCAGCGACCTGACAGGTGTGGGCAAAGGATGCGAACGGGAAAGGAAATGTCACCAACACCTGAATCCCATAACGTATGCTTTGTCTCCTCCCAATGACAAAACCGTCCATCAGACGTGTACTCGTCCACGGTTTCCACACCCTCACTGCAAGGCCCCACGCGTCTGTGCGTGCGGCCGGCGAACGTAAACGGGAAGCCAGTGAAGCAAAATACATCAAAATGGCAAATTTCTCATACTTTGACTCAGCGTTTCTTTTAGGTGTTTCTCAAACAATTGTGCCCCCCGCCCCGTGCAAAATGACCTGCGTTTGAGGTTTTTCAGTTCAGCCCTGAAAAGCAACCCGAAGCAATGGCAGCGGGAGCCTGGATGTGTGCACAGTGGGCCTCTACGCAGCTGTCCGAAGACCAGAACGCGCACCGCACAGAAGGTGTCAGGGGTGGGCCAGGGTGAAGATTAAGCACCCATCTGTGTTCTAAAGAAGAAAAATGAGTATGCATTGGAATTCATGTCTGCCCTGCCATGCACAGAATCCTAGAAGGAGACACAAGAAACCGGGAACGTCGGCCGCTGGGGACCGGGCCTGTGACACAGGCAGCGGAGAGGCATTCCGCTGTGTACGCCCCGTGCCTTTTGAATCTTCTAGCGTGTGAAAGCTTTAGCTACTGGAAATATTCTCATGATGAAAACACTGGCTACATAGAAAGTGTCCACCTGAGGGACAGGCAGGAGACCCGATGCGGGGACCAAGGTGGCGGAGGGGCACTGCTGAAGATGTGAGTGCAGTCTGAGGAGGAAATGGGACTGCAAAGAAGAAGGCCACCAAGGAGCTACTGCTGAGGCTGGAGAAAGCCCAGAGGCTGGGGTTGTGTGCTCAGAGAAGCAGCCTCAAGCTCGAGGGACTGGTCAGTTGCATGCGCCAGACCCTGCGCTCAGCTCCAACACACAGAACCCAAGAAGGGATAGTGGTGAGGTTTGGGGACAGAGCCTGGAACAGCGAGCTCTACAGCGCAGGGCTGTGGAGGCCTAGGGACTGAGGCTGGGGGTTGAGGGTGTGGGGCGGCTCAGCCTGGGTACCCATGGACCTGGACGGGAATAAGCTGCCTGCTTCTGGCTGGAATGCACTCGATGGCCTGGGGCCCAGGTGATCCTCCTACTTCAGGGCTTTGATGGGCACTGTGATAACCCCCCACCTAAGATAATGCTTAGGGTGGGGCCAAAAAACAGCTCCTAGAGCTCTGCCGGGTAGGCTGTCCACACTGCCACCAGTGACAGAACGCAGGGCCAAGGAAGCCGACTCGACCAAGCAGTCTGGGAAGGGCACTGAAGTGTTTCTAGGTCCTCAAAGGAGGGACCAGCATCCGTGAAACCAAGGACATTATGGAAAAGGAATGAGTTAGGATCCTTATTGATAACAAACAGCAAATGGGGGACTTCTGGGAAACAGTGGCATCTATTTAAATTTGTTCCACCTTGAAACAACAGTAAAGGTCTCCCCCCCCTCTGCTTTTTTTTTTGTCTTTTTAAGGCATAACATCCACAAAGATGAAGAAAACAGGAAAGGAGATGAATCGGCCTTGACGTTTTCTATTCTGGAAAGCAGGTGAGTAAATGGTGGCTAGCAGACCGGAAAAGAATATGAAGTCGGCGGTGGGGAAAACTGGAAAAAATCAACTTGTTTTATCCCAAAGAAGCCTCGAAAAGCTGAGGAGTTGGAGGCACCAGATCCCTTTAGCCGGGTAGGTGAAGGGGTAGGGGCACCACGCAGGGGGAGGCAGTTTTAGAAGCAGAAGCTGGGCGGGGCTCTGTACCAAACAGCCCTGGGCTCTGTCTGCACATAATTCTGAGTAAACGGCGGGCACTACTGTGGCTCTGACTCCTGGATCTCTTTTCCCGCACTGGCAAAAGGCGGAGTAGAGGGTGTGAGACCATACTGAGGACGTTGAGAGATTAAGTGAAGTCACATTGTCTGCTGAGACGCCAGCCTCTCCTGGGATGCTGGCAAGAGCCTGGAAGTGCCTTCTTGGAGGAAGGACCTAAAGATGCTCACAGCAAGGGGTGCCCCCAGAGGCCCAGCCAGGTTGCCCTACAGATCCTTCAGCAGCATCCACTGTCACTCCACACACCTGTGCATGTCCCCCAAAGTGCGGGTCTCCTTGGAGACTGAACCCCCCATCCTTCGCAGCTCCACACTCACCTGCTCCGAGCCACTGGATTTGTGGTCTCCTGTCTTACACATAAGCAGACAACTCAGAGGGAATAGAGACCACAGTGGGAGAAGAAAACTTCAAAAAAAAAAAGATCCCACTATTCTCCGAGAAAGAAGGAAAAACGTCACAATGGTGAAAACAAAAGGAAGTGGCTATAAAAATGAACATTCGGGGAATGAAAACACTCTTGGGAATGAATAAAGCTATGTTAGCAGATATGACAATGTCACCAGAAGGGCTAGAAAGTATAACTGAAGAAACATTCTGGAAAATAGAGTAGAAAGAAAGGGATGGAAGATGGGAGTGAAAAGATGCCATTAGAGGACCTGTCCCGGAGGCCACAGGCAAAGGACAGGAATTTCGCTTATTCCAGAAATAAGCGCAACGGCGGAGCCAGTTCCCCACGACTGAAACGTGAGTTTCAAATGGAAAGGGCTCACGAATAACGCAATAAAAAAGGTTTGAGACTGAGTTAATAAAAAGAATTCTTCACCTAGCTGAACTTCAGTCTAATGCTGAAGGTTAGACAGATGCGCTGCATCCCACGCCAGTGCTCACAGGAACGTGTGCCAGACCAAAGGAGGAAACCAAGAAAGGGGACCTGGGGCCTGGATGACGGGTCTCGGGGCCATCTGCGACGCCAAGGCTGGGAGGTGTGGGAATGGGGAACACAGGCCCCCCCGCTTGGGAGGTTTCATTAGGCAGAGGCAGCTGAAGGGGCATGGAGTCAGTGGAGGGGTTGGCTTTTGAGGGCAGGAGATGATGAAGCAGGCTGACACTACAGGGGGACAGTCCAGGGAGCGGGGCCAGGAGTGGGAAGGGCAGATGTGGTACTGTTGACAGAGCCCCCACCCCACCATGCCGGCTTACCTCGGGAGAAGATGCCTCCAGCTTCCTCTTGCCACAGGGCCCCAGGGTGTTCCCTCCACGAAGGCCCCTCAGGCCCAGTCTCGCTGTGGGGCGAGGCCCGGTCCAGTGCCGTCCCACAGCTCTGAAACCACAGTGGCCACTGCTCATCTCTGCCCTGCTTGGTCCAGGTAGGGACCCCCCCGACCCCCTCCCGCGAAGGCTCCTGGGGCAAGGAGCAGCGCCCAGCCTGTGTGGGGCTCACCTGGGCCTCCTCAGGCAGGAGAGTGGAAGTGGCCTCCTGGGGGTTGGCTAGAGGCCCAGAATCCAGAAATTCTGGAGAGGAAGGGTGGAGTCAGGCAGCCCAAAGTTATTGCCACCCCGCTGCCCTCCTCAGTGGTGTGTCAGGTGGTGGGATCCCGGTAGAGTGACAGCTGGGTGCAGGCTTGGGGCTGGGCATGGCAGGGTAGCTCCAAGGGCCCAGCTCGGGTGGAGCAAAGCAGGGCCCCCTGGAAGGCCATGCGAGTTGCTGCAGCAGGACCCGGCAGGCTCCGACCTGTGCCCTGTACCTGTGCATGAGCCCTGGCAGGTGGCCAGTGAAGGCAGGGGAGAGGCGCTGCACAAGAGTCCACACAGGAGTGGCGAAGCGTGTGAGGGGTCAGCTCTGGCCCTGCCTGGGAGGCGTATGAGGGAGGGGCCTGTTCTCCAGCACTTCAGGGTCCTCCCTCAGCCGCACCCACCCATCTGCCAGCCTGCTGTCTGCTCCCTGGTGACCACCTGATATCCCCCAATGGAACCCCCAACAGCCCGTTCCGAGCCAGGAGAGAGCGTGGGAACACAGCTGTGAGAGGCATGTGAGAAGCACTGACGGCCACTGGCTGAGTGGGTTGTGGGGGCCACCAGGGCACGGGAATGGTTCCATCCAGGTGACCGGCCCAATGGTCTTCAAGCTGTCAGCCAAGCTTCCCACGGTCCATCTAATTAGGTCTTGGGCCCAGCCCACCTTGCCTGTCCTCACCTGGGTCCTCTGTAACCTCGGGCTCCTCTTTCACCCGAAGGCTCAGCGGTGACTTCCGTGTGCCCCCAGGGGGCGTCTCAGGCCCAGGTTCTGTAGTCCGAGGCTTGGTTTGAGGGAGGGGCTGGAAGTCAGAGGGCTCCATCTTCTCTGACAGCACCTCCTGGCCCTGCACCTGGACTGTGACCTGGGGAGGTACCCCCTCTCCATCAAGGGCCCAGGCAGGGAGTTGGGCTGGGCATTCACCCCATCACGGGACTCCAGTGGTCCTGACTAGGTCCACCAAGGACCCACCTTCCAGGGACTGAGCAGGGAGTAAAGGGGCCACTTGTAGTTGCTTTCCTGCCGCGGATATCCATGGCTGCCCAGTGGTCTCCCCCACTCCACCTTGCATTCCTTCCCATGTCAATCAGTGACCCCAGGTGATGTAGGAATGGGCCGGTGAAGCTGGCCCTGGAATCCCGTCTACCATGCAGAGGGTCTGCTGCAGGTGACTACTTCCCGACCCACAAGGGACAGGTGTCTCGCTGAGCATGGCACCCCGTTCCAGCCCTGACCCTGGCTCAGGGCCACTGACTCACCCATCTCCGGGGCCCTCCTGGCTCCCTACGCAGCCCCTCGACTAGGGTGACGGCCTCCTCAGGGCTGCCTGGCCGCTGTCCCCGCACGCGGGCCTGGATCTCAGGGGGCAGCGCGCCCAGGAACTGCTCTAGCACCAGCAGCTCCAGCATCTGCTCCTTGGAGTGCACCTCGGGCCGCAGCCACTGGTGGCACAGCTTACGGAGCTGGGCCAGGGCCTCTCGGGGACCTGCTGCGTCCTCATAGCGGAAGTGCCAGAAACATTGGCATGCAGCCTCCGGACCAGGATCCCACGGGGCAGCCTCCTCCTCCTCTTCCTCCTCCTCCTCCTCAGAGTCCTCCAGCTTCACCATGACAGGTCTCTTGTCTTCTGGGGGCGCGTGGCCTGGGGAGCCCAGTGCTGTGGGCCTCATCGGAAATACCAGACTCCGAGGCTAGTGTCTGCCCCTGGGGAGGAATGGGATGGGGCCGCTACAGTGAGAACAAGTGGCGGCAAACGCCTCTCGAGTGCCTGCTGTACGTCCGACTGTTCCCTACTCAGACGTGCCCCGAGTGGAAGGCAGATGACACTGAAGCACAGAAAGGTGATCACATGCCAAAGACCTGTGAGTCCAGTAAGCCCTTGAGCCACCTGTTCCTGGTCTCTCTGGCTGGGCCTGCGCAGTCTCTGGTAGCCCTCCGCTCCAAAGACTTCTTAGGCCTAGAAGTCACCTCTTCTCTCTCCTAAATCCTGCTCTTTCTCTACATGCACCACCTCATCCCTGCAATGGGTGGATGACGCCTACAACACCCCGCCCCGCCTGGGCATCAGCGCCACTACGACCACATGTGCAAGCCCATCTTCGCACCATCCACCCTACCATCCAGTTTCAGACCACTCTCCTGCCATCTCGGTTCCACAGGGCAGTCTCTCTCCACCTGTCTCCCCAACCTGTGCAGTCACCTGTGTGGCTGACTCAGCCCCAAGGTAGCACCCAACTCCAATTCAGCCCTATCTTCTGAGTCCAATTTTTCACACCATGCGATCCCCCATCCTCTCAGTTTCCTGATCGAGGCTGACCGAGGTGATTGGGTAGCTTCCAGGGGGCCCACCAAGGACCTCAGACCACTGGACCGGGAGCCTGCCAGCAAGGTCGAAGATTCTGACCTCGCCTATCTGCCACATGACCTCGCTGTGCCTCTGCGAACCCTGGTTTCCTCATCTAGAAATGGTGAATGGCCATCAGGCCCACCTCACATTGCTGCTCCTGCAGCTGGGGGTTAGGCACAAGCTTGTTTTAAAAAATCTAAGCTTATTAAAGGGGTGCATTCGATTTCGAGGGCTGCCTGATCCCGTGAGCCAAATCTTTGCTCTTCAAGGTCAAACTGAAACCCTGGGAGAAAGTTGGGCCATCGCCAAGCCGGCTGGTCCCTCCGGAGGTTCCCGAACTACATTTACCACAAGTCCAGGAGGGCAACTTCCGCTTTAGCGAGCACGCCCCCCAGCCCGCGGTCCCGGTGCCGCCATGGCAACCGGAGGCGGGACTCCCAGAGTCCGTCGTTGAGGCAGTGCTCAGTAATTGACGGCCCTTGGGCGACAGCGCTAGACTTGCCTGCAGGTAGTACCCAGGTCCCTGCCTTGCACTCCCGGTCCCACAGGGCAGCCGGAATCCACGACCCGCAGCAGCCACCCCGGTCCCCGCCCTCCGCCCAAAGCCCTCTCGTTTGAGAAGCCCCCGCCCTCACCTCCGCGCTCAGCGGGCCGCTCCCGCGCTCCTGAGCATGCGCACTGGCCGATTTCCCCTCCCCGGCCGGACCATGTCTCCCGGGATGCTCTAGCCCTTCCCCCACCCTCGCCTGTTTCCACCCTCCTGTCCTTGTTCCGCGGGATAACGTTGTTCTCAACGATCAGATCACACTCCCGGCCGCCTCTTCCCGCGCTCCCCGCCTAAGATCCAGGCGTCCGGGTTCCGTCGAAGTGCGCAAGCTTCTCAGGGGGGAATGGACAGCAGCGCTGCCTTCCCAACCGCGCATGCCTCCCACCACCTTTCCCTCAGTTCTATACGGGCCTTCCAGGGATTAGCAGGGCTCTGCACCAATCGCGGCCCTCGATAGGACGCCGTCAGTCCGGGCCTCCATGGCAACCCCCTGCGGAGGTTGGGGGGTGTCACCTCCACCGCCCGCCCGGACCGCAAAATGGAGAGGCTAGGTTAAGGGTTTACTGGGAAGTGTAGTCGGCGGAGTCCTCCGTGCGCGCGTGCGCGGCGCGACGACGGTCCTTTGTGCTGGTGGGCGGTGTGTGTGTGCGTGTGCGCGCGCGCGTCTCCATGGTAACCAGTTGGACGGACTTGCAGGTCTCCAGGGCAACTTGGGGACTCGGAGGGTGTCGGAAAAGCGATGGGAATGTGGGATGAGGGCGCGAGGAAGGGACTGGGCCAGAGATAGGGTGGGGGCGGGGAGAGAGAGAGACAGAGAGACACGGATAGACAGACACAGACAGACGCAGAGACTCGGGGGGCAGGGAGAGACCCAGAGCTTGCGAGGGCAGAAACTCAAGTGAGCAGGCGTAAAGGAGGACAGAGAGAGGGATTTCTGCTCCACGACCTAAGGAGTGTGATAAGAAGCCAGCAGGTCGGGGAGTCGCGCCTGGGGAGATCGGTATGACAGAAACGTTCGCAACAGGGACGAAGGTTAGGAAGGGATGGGGGTGAAAGGAGAAACGAAGAGGGGGAGAGAGGGAGAACGGATTCACAAAGACAAGTGCAGACATCGAGAACCAGGGGACCAATATACAGAGTTCATAGGCGAGAGGAAAGAAAGGGACAGAAATCAGACACAGTAAGATGGGCTGAGTTTTCAGAGACCGAGCGAAGGCGGCAGCATGAAGAGAAAGCATTAGAGGGAGAGTTGGTAGGAAAACTTATCCAAAAACTGGACAATAAGACAAAGGTGACAGGGGGGCCCCGCCTGACTCCCCAGGCGAAGCGACTCTTTCAACCATTTCGATCAGAGTCCATGTACTGCATTTAGATGCTAACTCGTAAAAGGTCGATAGGTTGCAAACGCTTTCTGTCCACTACAGAGAGTACCTCAAGGATTAGAGTTGTGTCACCCTGCAGGACACTGAGCAGGACATCGAAACGTCCCGGCCGCCCAACTGCCTGTCAGGGCACTAATGTGACTCTGTGTTTTTCTTTCAGTGTTCCTTCTTTCCTTCCCCCTCTCTGTTCCTTCTCTCTCATCTTCCTGGAACCGCCTGTTACCTTAGTTCCCTCCGTGAGGTAAATCCATCTTTGAGACGAGGTCCCTAAGTTTGTTTTTAACGTTTTCGAAAATGGTGTGTTGACAGTCTGAAGGGAACCCGTTCCCTGGGATGGGAGACAGAAAGGGAGAAAGAAGTAGGCAGGACGATGGACAGAAAATGCGACGAGAAAGTCAGCCGCAGGCAGCGACAGTCTCGGGCGCCCTCTCTTGGAATCCGTGTGCAGCCGCCTCTTGGCCGGACTACATTTCCCGGCATCCCGAGCGCCCAGAGTGCCGTGGGAGGTGCGCCCCCCACGGCGTCCTCCAATCCCAGCCGTCGCCGGACAGCCTTCCGCTTCCGCCGACAAGATGGAGGCTGGGCTCAGCCGCCGTCGGGGAGCGGCACCGTAAGGACATAGAGAAGGGCCGCAGTCTCACCGGCCCAGCTGAAGCAGTCGGCCCGCGTCGCGGCCTGGAGGTGAGGGCGGTCAGCCGCGCGCAGGCCGGGCTCCGGGAGCGAGGGTGGCCTTTCATGCGGCTCGTGTAGCGAGGTAGGGAACGGAGAGGCCGCTGCGCGCACGCTCCAGGACGCGCACCACTGGTCCAATCGGAGCCTTCGGCGGCCCCGCGGCCTTCTGGGAAGTGTAGTCTTGAGTAACGAGTCCTGTCTTCCGAGACGTGTGCGGCGAGTCTTCCCCGGCGGCAGGCCTGGGGACGTTGTCTCTAAAGCGGAAGGGAGGGACTGAAAGAATGAACGGGTGAATTTAAAATTGTGGTTGAGCAGGCGAAGGCATGGGTGTCGGAGAGAGGAAGACGGACGCTAGTGGTCCAGGCAAGAGCCTTCCCATGCGCACCTACCTTTTCCTGCCTCCCTGGCTTGAGCAAGGCCCTGTGGGCTGTGCCACCTAATTTCAAGTCAGGTGGAGCCCATGGGTCCCTTAAGGTACTCGTCCTCGGTGTCATAGTCTCTCCAGAAGCACTGACCTGTCAGGCATTTATCCCTGCGTTTTACATGCACTCCTTCATAAAAAAGTTTACCGTTTTGATCAGATGTTTTTATATTGTTCAAAATGCAAAAGAGAAGGTGAGAAGCATGTCCTACTACTGCACCTTCTTCTGAGTGAAATCTTTAGCCTCTTACACAGACCCTGCGATCACATTTAAGGCCCATTCAGATGATCTCCCCACCTTAGGTTTATTAACTCAGTCATGCCCACGATGTCTCTCTTGTCATGTAAAGTACTTTAATCATAGGTTTCTGGGATTAGGTTGTGGACCTCTTTAGGATATGTCCTTATTCAGCTTCTCACACTGATGCCTGATATTTCCGAGTGAGAAGCATGGAGCTGGGTAGTTCGTCTGTCCATCTGGGTCTAGGAGGTGATTCAGGGTTTCTAGATGCTCTTGGCTTCCCCTTGTGTTTGCAGAAGGATTGCTGAGGGAAAAAGAGTGAGGTCTCATCTCTCTTTTGATCTCATGAGCTAAAATTAAGTGACATGCTCTTCTAGATGCAAAGAATCCTTGGAAGAGGGCAGTGCTTTTAAGCAGAGGGAAAGAAGGGACTGGGCGTGCCTCTGATCAGGGCCCGGTGCTCTGTGTCAGCAGGGGAGGGCTGGGCAGTGGTTGGGACTTCCACGTGCTCAGATGTTAATGCCTATATGTCCCCCTGTTACAGAGAGGCCAGGAGGCTGCCATCATGGGAACAGTGGTTGCTGCTGTGGAGGGGCTGGGGGTAGAGGGCTCGTCGCGGTGCATGGCACGAAGAGGCGGAATAAAGACAACCCCCCGAGTGCAGGCGTCGGGAAAGGCACCCCTTGATGGGATTGGCCTCCGCCACAGTGCCAAGCGGGACCGGAAGTCCATCACCCTCCATGTAAAGTTGGAGGTGCTTCGGAGGTTTGAGGAGGGTGAGAAGCTGACACAGATCGCCCGGGCTCTGGGGCTGGCCACCTCCACCGTTGCCTCGATCCGTGTCAACAAGGACAAGATCCGGGCCAATTCTCAGGCAGCTACACCTGTCAGTGCCAAGCAGCTGACCCGCTGCCGGGGTGTGGTGATGGGCCACATGGAACGCCTGCTGAGCCTTTGGATCGAGGAGCAGAAGCGGCGACACCTGCCAGTCAGCACGCTGCTCATCCAGGACAAGGCGCGCCGCCTCTTTGCACAGCTGCAGCACGAGCACGGCGATGCCACCCAGGCTGACACCTTCGGGGCGAGCAATGGCTGGTTTGCCCGTTTCAAGGCACGCCACAATGTGCTGTTGACGGATGAGCCGGCTGTGGCTGACGCCCAGGCTGCTGCCGGCTACCCCTCAGTGCTACGCACCATTCTGGAGGAGGGCTGCTACTCACCACGCCAAGTCTTCAACGTGGACGAGACGGGCCTGTTCTGGAAGCGGCTGCCCGAGCGCATGCTGCTGGCACTGGAAGGGGCAGCCGGGCCTGGGCCTAAGGCCCCTAAGGACCACCTGACCCTGCTGCTCGGTGGCAACGCAGCTGGTGACTTCAAGCTGAAGCCACTGCTGGTATACCCCTCGGAGAACCCACGCGCCCTCAAGGGCTGCTCTAAGGCCAGCCTGCCTGTGGTTTGGCGCTCCAACCGCAATGACTGGCTGACGCCTAGCATCTTCCAGGAGTGGTTTACTGGCTGCTTCTGCCCTGCCGTAGAGAGCTACTGCGCCAGCCACGGCCTCCCCCACCGCGCCCTGCTGCTCCTGGATGGTGCTCCCTGCCACCCTGCCCACCTGGGGAGCCTCTCGGCCCACGTGCGTGTTGAGTTCCTGCCCAAGAACACATCGGCCCTGATCCAGCCCATGAACCAGGGCATCATCGCTGCCTTCAAGGCTCATTACCTGCGCCTCACGCTTAGCCAGCTGGTCCAGGAGACAGCTGGTGAAGACCGGCCCTCCATGCGGGAGTTCTGGCGTAGCTATACCGTCATGACTGCAGTGGACAACATCGCCCAGGCCTGGGCAGAGCTGCAGCCCGCCACCATGAACAGTGCCTGGAGAAAGCTCTGGCCTGAGTGTGTGCCTGCCGGCAATTCTGAGCCCGACGCTGTGCCCCAGCTCCACCGCAGCATTGTGGCGCTAGCCAGCCACGTGGGCCTTGGAGAAGTGGCTGAGGCCGATGTTACCCACCTGCTGCAGGCCCATGTGGAGCCCCCACCCCGTGGAAACCCCCAGGATGCAGAGGATGGGCGGGCCAGCAGCTCTGGGTTGTCTTGGGAGGCAGGGAAAGGCCCGGCCTCCGAAGGACCAGAACTGGATCTTGCTGAGGCTGTGGCGAGTGTGGGGGCTGAGGAAGCTGGTGTGGGTTCACTGAGCCCTGAGTGCCTGGCCCAGGCCCTGGCCCACTTCACCGCTGGCCTACGGGTCCTCACAGAGAACGATCCGAACCGGGAGCGCAGCTTGTGGGTGTCTCGGGGTGTCCACTGCGCCCTCGCCCGCCTCCGGGAGCTGCACCGGGAAAGGAAGCGACAGGCCCGGGCAGCCGCATCCTCAGGAAGCCCCGTGGTGGTGGCGACAAGAGAATTGACAGGGAGCCTGCGCTTGCCACAGGTGGGGCCTGCAGAGGGTGGGCGAGTGGTTAAAGAGTCAGACCCTGAAGGACAGACGTCTGCAGCTGTCTTGCATGATTTGGGGCTTGGGCCTGACCTCAGATGAGCCCTGTTTGATGACATTTAGTTTCTGGAGCACAGACACTGCCACGTCTTCCCCGTGGTTCACATACCTGACGCCCTGCAGTTTTTGTACCGTGATACACACATACCCCCAGGCTAGGAGAACAGGAGGGTGTTCTTTGACTGGCAGATGAGCTGCAGGACCCGTGACAAGAGACACACCTTATAGCACCACGGTGGCCCAGCACAACCCACCAGGTTGGTCTTCCTTTTGGATAGGGGCCAAGGCCAGCCCTGGCCTCTCCCCGCACCATTGTGGTGACCATTCGCCAGCCCTGGCCTCTCCCCGCACCATTGTGGTGACCCGTCCTAGCCAACTTTAGATGCGGGTTTCCAGATCTTGGCATTTCCTCCCTTCCCATGCTAGGCTCACCCGCTCTGGCTTCCATGGCCTCTGTGATACCAGGTCTCTGGTTCCCTCCCTGCACCCAACCCCATGTTGGCCCACTGTGGCTTTTGATACCAAGGGTCCCTTCCTTGGTTTGGAGATATTTTCTCCCCTAGGTTTCTATGGCATGGTTGTCTTGGCAACCTTCCATCTTCTGATGCTGTGTCTTTTGTGACACTGATGGTCTCCCGGGTCTAGAGCCCTTTGGGAAATCTCGTCCATTCCTAAGGCCTCAGTGGCCACCTCAGGATCTGCTCCCGGTGCACTAGCTGCAGCCCAGCCTCTTCCTGAGGTTAGACCCATAGCTCTGACAGCGATGGGTGAGCCTTACAGACAGTCTCATTATCTCCTCTCATTCCACCTTGCTCTCCTGCCCCCCAAACTGACAGCCGGCACTTTGGTTGTCTGCTCTGCAGACACACCACGTGGGCCGCCAGGACACTGTCAGCAAGGGAAGGTGTTCTGATGCTCTAGCTGCATGAGCCACAGGTAGTGAGACAGGGACGTGTGGCCTCTTGGGTTCTGTTCAGTGCAGGTACCTGCATGTGTCTGTGCACACGCGCACACAGACACACGAAGAAATAAAGATGGCGGAAAGGGTTTCTGCCACCTGTGTCCCCGCTAACACTTGCAGTAATGGGCCTGCTCTCAGCACGTGACAGGGGCGGAGAATCATAATTGGAAAAAGTTCAAAACCGAACACTTGAAAAGTGACATTTATTAAAACTTGTGGGATGAAGCTCAATCAGTATTTAGAGAAGAATTTGTACCCTTAGTGTAAATGGCAGAAGAAAATGCTTAAAAAAAATCCAAACACAAGAGCATAGAAAAAGATGATAAAATAAAACCGGATGAAAGGAGAGGGAAGCGATGAGGAAGAATC